TATGTGTTATGCAACCCATAAACCAAACCATAAAATGGCAAAGTCTGAATTCTAACAGGTGGAAAAGTCACAAGAAGAATTTAGACTTAGGCAGTCTTCAAAAACTACATTTCAAGGCAATATCTGAACAATAAAAAAAAAAAATGCAACATGGGTATACTACCAGCTAAATATTTATTCTTGCTTCCCACTGAACTTGCCTTTTCTGCCAAGCAGAGTAATGCAATGTGACCTACAAAGCATCATAGAGAACAGAAAGTGATAAGGTCTGCCCTGGCTTTTATACAGTGCCAGCATAAGAGCAGAGAGGGTTTTTTTTAAGAGTTTTGTAAGAGTGTAAAAGCACTATATCCAACAGAATGACTCCTGGCACATATCAGAAATGCCTACCAGATACTTACAACTGTATAATACTATAAAGAACAGAAATTAAGTATCCTTTGCTACAGCTTTATCATCTACTAGTACTCCCACAACATTTTGAAAAACTGCCAGGAGCCAATCCTGAGAGTCACATCTATGTCATGAGGATTCCTATGTTTGCATATGCTCAGCAAATACAGATATCATATTTGGAACTCAAGCTCCTCTGGCCTATTCCTATTCTCTGATTATGAAAATAGCAAGGGACAACAGTAGCCCCATTAGGTTTTGTCCTCAGGGAGGCTGTCCTGGCCAGCAAGGAGCATGTACCTCATTCTCCCAAACATATGTCAGCAATCAAGTGGAGCACTCAATTAGAGCTATTCAGTACTCTCCCCACTTTTCAACAAATAATTTTTTCTTTTCTTCAAAAAATACCTACCCATGGAAAACACATGTTTAATGGGGATTTGGGACAGCACTTCCCTTATTAAAAAAAAAAATTATTTTCATCTTCTAGCTTGTGTTCTTCTTTTTTTTTCCTCCTCCTTTATCTCTTGCCTCCAACACCTAATAAAAGTAAATAAGTCCCACCCTCCCCAATTTTTAGAAACTGAAAAGCCTTGAAAGAGTTTCATTAAAGAAAAGAAAAAAAAATCAGGGGTGGGGGGAAGGGGTAGAGAATTAAAATCAAAATAACTTGTGGAACAGATCTTTTTCCCAAGTTTCCAAGCTCCAAGCACTGCCAGAGCAAGCAATACTTCCCAGGCTCAAATTAAACACCACTGCCAGTGGCGACCTCCTCTCCCACTGCTCTGCCTGCCAGGGTGCAGCCAGCTCAGCCCTAGGGATCCTGACAGTGCTGGCAGGAGATGATTGGAGTCAATGATGGACCCCATGGAGCTTGAACTGTTGTTTTTTTTAAATGATCATTCCACATAAAATTAGAGACTTAGTAGAAGGCTGCAACTACATCCCTCTGCTCTCTGATTGAACAGACTGTACCCTTCAGCACATCTCTTAATGTTAGTATAGCCCAATAATATCAATAGTGTAACTCTGAGGGGGTAATAATAAACTAATGGTATGAGAACAACCTCATCAGTTTCTGTTTAAGCTCAGAGTTCCTATCTGTTCAACTGCTTCTCACACAGAAGACATGAGAAAAGATAAGGAGAGAGGAAGAAAAAAACAACTGGGAAAAAACATCCAATTTTTCTCTGCCAACCTCCTATCACAGCACATGCAGGCAGCTTTCCTACCAGCAGAGACACATAACTTTTATTCCTTGCACAGCAGTCTCATTAAAATGGATATGTCCTAAATGGACACCACAGCTAGAATTTCAATCATGAATTTGGGTATACAGAGCGCAGCACCAGATTCTGCTGGGCTGATCAGAGGAATTGATAATTCTTCCAGCACTCCTCTTTTGAGAGATACTATTATTTCAAGCTTAACAAACCCATCTTTCACAAGAATTTAGTACCTTCCCACTTTTACAGAGGAATGGATTTATCCCTGAAATAAAGCAGCCCAGGAAAAAAATTTTTAAAAAGACATTATCAAATGAGTTATTTCCAGTAGAGGAACACAGTTAAATGAATTCAAAAATATCTTGAAAAAACAAATGTTTATTTTATGTCTGCCTTACTGTGGATCTTTATCAGAAACCTTGTAACCTCTTGACAAGGTAAGGCTGAAGACTGTGGAAGGAACATCTAAAAAATTACCTCTAGGCTGGAGAGAAGAACCCAAGGAAGACTAATAACACCATCTCAGCTAAAGCAATAGAAAGCAGAGAGTTGGAAAGGCAATGTTGGTGCATGCACACAAGTCAAGGCAGTATTTTGTAGCAGACAATATCCCAGCAGAGAGCACAAAACTCATAATCTTCATAATATACAGCTCAGATCCATTATATTAATTTGTGGGTGTGATATTATTAATTAAGAGGAACAGAGAAGTGGTCAGGGAACAAAGGAATTAAAATAATGAGAACCTGCACAACCTACAAATGGATAAAATGGATAAAAATTAATCTATGCCTGATTTATTCTCAACAATAAACTACATTTTAAAGATAACTGAAATTATGCAAATCCTACCCTAAGATAAAATGTAAAAAGAGCTTTTGTCCTTGTTGTTGGATGCTTGCAATATGAGCCAAGGAAAGTAAAAGTTGTGACCAGCTCTTAGACAATAATCTCAAAGACAGGATACTGCCACATGCTGGAAGCACTCAAATAGCTACTTTTACATGAGGTGATCCAAAGTTCAGCCTCCCACCTCCCAAAGCAAAGGCGTCTGTCCTCTGGAGTAATTTCATCTCTCTGTGTTGACTACATTCCATTTTGCAAGCCCTGCTTGAATACTCAGAGATTAAAAAGAAAAAGAAAAAAAAAACTCATATCAACATTTAGAGAAGGCAATGGAACAGTTGATTACCTGGTTTCATCTTTTTTTCAGTTCTCTCAGTGAAGATGTTCAAATAAAAGAATTCCCACTCCTTTCCACTGTGACCTAAACTCACTTTGATTTCATCCCACAAACAGGGGAAACTGAGCTATCATTTCAGCAGTCCACACAAGCCTAAGCTTGCAAGATAGAGCTCCTTGAGATCTGTCTTGCCCTAACTCTACTCAGACTAGTACCCACACTGTCTTTAACCTTGCTATGTTTTCTATCACTGCAATCCCCTTCCCAAAGAATCAGATTAAAATACTTCCAGGCATGGGATTAGTCAGTTGTGGAGTTCTCTCTCATGGTAAGCAACAACAGTCATACTGCTTCAAGGCTTTAATCTAAAACTGGAAAGATACTTTAGGGAAAAATCTCACCTCTAGGAAAGGTAAGTATGTCAGAGAGCCCTCAAATACACTGCTGAAAATTATTGTGGCATTCTATAACATTAAGATTTAATTTCACACAAGCCCGCTGGTTTCCTCTGTTGTGGATCTGCTCTTCAAACTATCTGTTGATTAAGTTGGGAAGAAAACCATTATTTCTTCTTAATCTCCATATACATGGAGAACATAAAGACAAATATCATCTTTCAGCCCTTTCCTTAATTTCCACAGATTGTAACCAAAGCCTGAGAACCTAATTTTCCTCCAGCACATGGGGATAAAAAAAAAAATCTAAGATGGTCACACTTAAGTTAATGGAATTGTACCCATATAAAACTGGTTAAAATAAACTGAAACCTGAATCAGATTTTCAAGCTTAAACAGACTAGCAAAAAGCTCATGCAAATCACAGTCCATGGAATGTATGCAATAGCTGCCTCATCAAACCAGGATGCTGTGTAGAGATAACATGACACTACAACCATGTACTCGGTTACAACAATATAGGCAGCACTGTAATTACAATAATGACCTCCCAGAGCTATTGTGTCTTTTAATTAAGCCTTTAAGAGTAGGCATTTGCCACTTAATCCTAACTCACTGTAACTACTGCAGCATATCATCTACATTTTCACAAAGAATTACTGTGTCATATTTCTGTCAGAAAGATGAAAGGGAATATTTTAGTTCAAGTGGCATTTACAGAATGAAACCGTATGAAATAAGTGGCCCATAGATGTCCTTTTAACAGCACTTCAGACCAAGTAAATGCTTCTGTTCCCTTTCTTTCTCCTACTACTCTGCTTCTTCCCAGAGTAAACTGGGAGAAAGGAGGCAGGAGGGGCTACACAGAGGCAATATCACACCTGATTTCATGGATGATAAAGCTGTGACAACAGATTTTAACCAGAATACAGCACACAGCAGCAATGCCACAAACTTACTGCTTTCCAGCTGCATTTAACTCTTTACCACTCTTCAAAAACAAACCAGCAAATTGTTGGTTTGAAGAACTGGCACCAGTTCTTATTGGTGCCCACCAACTCTGTCTCTGCTTTGATTGGGAAAGCTTTCCAGAGATCCCTTTCTGTTCAAAAGTGTTCTCAGCTAAAGTAATATACAGTGCAAAGGGGGGCCGTTATGTTATTTTCAACACCATTAACAAATTGTTAGGGGTATTTTCTAATAATGGCTCTAATAATGAGAATTTCTTTCCAAAAACATGCATGTGAGTACGCAGAAGAGTTTGAAGAGTTTCTGTCTGTTGCCTGAATGGCACCACTGTTAACTCAGACATAGGGACACTGAGCAGCTCTGTCGGTTCTACTTGACTTTAACAGACTCAAAGGCACCGGTGATGAGAACAATTTTCTGCTTGTTTATTTGAGGGATTCTTATTCTAACTATGGAAACCTGACTCGGCCCAATTTCCACATCTTTTCAGTGTCTTCTTTGATATGAGTATTTTCATTCCACTATACTATTTGCCTCCATCAACTCAAATACCACATCCAAACAGTTTGATGAATGAAAAGAATTAAATCAAAAACTATGGAAGTAGTAGGGGAAGTTAAAAGTGATCATTAGCCCCTTGTGTATTCTGTATCATCATAAAATACTTTCAACACTGCCTTGCCATTGCACACCAGAGAAGAAAGAAAACCAAGATTATTTTAAATTTTCTCTACAAACAAGACAGAGTTTTTTAATCAACAGTCAGCACCAGCTTAAACCACGCACTCTGATAACTGTAGACTTTCCAAAAGCTCCCACATCCCAGTATTTTACCAGACTTGGACATCTTGTCTGAACCTTCCATTCTTTCTCCAAGCAAGTATATTCAGTTACTTCCCTGGTTGGCCTGTAAAATACTGAAAACAAAGCATTGTTTATATTAATATGCTACCTGAATGACATATAAACAAAACAAAAAAAAAAATCTTTTTTATCTCCAGAAACATTAATTTCTCTTCTGCAAAATTCTATTTTGTTATTGTCTTTCAGAGTTTTGTCATGCTTGTTCTACCCCTTTACAAGATCTTTCATGAGCCTGAAAAATACTCACTGTTCACATCACAGGATAGTTGTCAACTGCCTTAAGTTTCTTTTTTTCTCCTTTCCCTTCCTTTCCTACCCTTTGCTGGAGTGTTAAAATCGTATTACCTTCCCAAGCTGATCTCGCTATTAATCCACAATGGATTACCAGAGCATGAGAGAAACTGATGCTGAGTGGCTCTTTTCTGCCACTTCAGGTGTAAGTAATACCACTATATCAGGTACACAGAGACAACCTCTTAGCAAATTCTAATCTCCTGCCCACACACCATGCAAGTCTAGTGAAGTAATCAAGGCTGACACTGACTGGTAAAAACTTGAACAAAATTACTTTGCATTATAGCACCCAATGTTTTATTCATATTACAAACCAAATTTTGCACACACAAGTGGAAAGACTTGCTGATTAATACCTGTTGGCATGGACAAACTACCTGTAAAAATACGTGTTTGAATTGTTAAAGGTGTTTGAAATGGTTGACAAGCATGTGTGGTTCTTTTCTGCCACTTCAAGAGGAATTACTGTATCAGGTACCCAAATGCAACTTCTTCTCTTTGTAAGGAAGTAATTCAAGATGTTCTAAGGCATTCAGAAGGGTCTACAAGTTGGCCTATAGATAGCATTGTCTGGTGGGGCATCATTCAAAAATGTTTATAGAAAATTGGCTTTCTATTAGCAATAACATAAACAAGATATTTTCTTTTGTGGCTGGATTGAGGATGGGAAGGGAGATGACAATACCTTTTTTAATTCTTTGGCATCTAACCAAAGGAAAACAAAGATCAGAATAAAACTTTCAATACTTCTGCTCAGTACAAGATTTTGTAGTACTCTGAAACTGTTCTGTTTCTTTTTTTTTATTATTATTAACTCCTTATGGACAGAATTTTAAAAACAAAACACTTCAAAATATCCAAAAGCTCAAAAGAAAAATACTCTGCATTTCTCTAAGTGAAAGGTATTACTTCAACATTTCAGAGAGCTTCTCTTTGTGTTTCTGCTTTTAAAGAATGATCCACCACCTTGTGAGGATACAGCAACGTGATAGACACATCTCAAATTACTTCCCTAAGGTGAGAGAAAGGAGATTCAACCCTAATGAACCAGCCCTCTTGCCAACACTTTTGCATATCACCCTTAACCAGACCCTTCTCTCCAGGCTTGATGTGAAAAGGTCACTGGCCTTTTATCTAGAGAAGATAGACCCTTCAAAGTCCAACCAGCTCTTCATTTCATCTGACACCAAAGCAACAACCTCTGCTTCACTGCTACAAGGCAGGCACCTCCAAATGCCTGATCACACATCTTTCCACTACAGCTTGACAGGCTTACAGTGTGAAAGATGTGTTAGAGCTCATTCCATTAGGAAAAGAACGTCTTTGACTGATGAAATTGTATCTCTCTCTCTCTTTAGAAAATGTACTAAGTAATTGGAAGATCTTCATGACAATTAGAATCATACCCCAAAACTCGTCATGGATTTCAGCAAGTTTTGGATCAAGCATATATATACCAAATGAGACTGTTAGGGTTTGATTTCTTGAAAGAATTTCGGTTGAGTCTGCAAATGTTGAAATAGATTCAGGCAGCATGACTGACATGCTCTTGTACTTCCACACCTTCAGCAGCATGGATTTCCTTCCCCACACAGAGACAATTACACACCTTTTTAGAACTTGTTTACAAAATATATTAATAGTATTTTATTAATATAATTATCATTTCTATGCAAGATATATATTTTTTTTATACCACTGGGCTGAATCAATCTTTCAGATACTATTTCTGATCAAGCTCTGAGACAGTTTATTTGAAAGTAATCCCTGAAGTGTGAAAGGGTGTCTTTACAAAGACGTCTGAAATTCTATTCTCTCATTGTAAATAACCTTATCACAACAAATAGCCTTATATTATCTAGAAACAGAAGGATTCAATGATTTTTTTGTGGGTTTTTTTTGTTTGTTTGTAAAGATCTTTTTCCTACTATTTTGGAAAAAATATCACCAGGAATTCAGTTGCTCAAACCTTTCTGACCGCAGAAGCATCTAGCTCCTAAAGACAAAAAGAAAGCAAAAGTCCAAACTAAGCATATGCCTAGTAGCAAGAAATTGACAGATATATTCAAATCCAAACTCAGCATCAAGTTCAAGCCATCATGGATGGGTAGAGAAGGTGGTGCATTTTTGCTGAGGAAAACACAAACCCTGTGCCTTGTGAAAGCTGTGCAGTGACAGCAGAAAAGGTGGGGAATGGTTCCTCACCCCCAGCATTCAATGGCACACATTGTTATACACAGAACTGCTCTTGTTGAGTCTGCAGTGAGCCAACTGGAAAGCAGACAGAAGCAGGTACTGATATTACACCAAAGCATATTGTCACTGCTAGAGCCAACGCACCGTTGCCGAAGCTGCCAATTATCCCCAAGTCACTGATACGTTATTTTTTTAATCCCAGAGAATGATCTTTTGCTGGAGGCTTTTTCACACCCTTGACTGAAGTATCCCTGGTGGCATGTTGACTAATTAAGAGCAAAATCCATCTCTTGATGAAATAACACTGCCACTGAAAGAGATTTCTACAGTTAGAAAAAAAAAAATGTTTAATCAGGCTAGGAGGAGCAGCATCCTAACACTTGCACTAAGCACGGGAAAGAGGTCTACAGCTAGCAATTAACAATGATGAAAAGGACAGTGATTTAAAGCATATTGCCATGACATTTTTATCAAAGTAAATGAGTTTGCTAGGCCCAGCGGCTGCATATGCTTATTGTCATTTAATGTTTGGATAGCAACACATCAGGCACCGGGTATCAGGAGGTGCCGAATTTAATAAGTCATTTTGACACTGGCGTGAAACGAACAAATCAGCATTCTGAGGAATGTGTTCACACTCTGAGCAGACAGGCAGACATCCTAAGCATGTGAGGTGACACCAATCAACAAAAAAAATGGGAGGTGGGAAAGAAAGGGAGTGAGAGATGAAAGCCAGGAGAAGAAACAGGCAGCGATACTCCGATGAAAAACTAGTTCTGTCCTGTCTGCTGGTTTGCCTGGTTGGTGTCAACGAGGCAAATTTCTTTTCACTAAGGCTGAGATACACTGCATATCTTCGATGGCATAAATCTCATGTATTATTTAAGCCCTACATGGATTATCTCAAATGAACTAAAATTAATGTCATGGAAATCTTTCAGGACTTTTCATTGCTTTAGTGGCAATGCAAAATTCCTGCCACGTGCACAGTTAATCAGAGCTTGTTTTTTTAGCACAACAAGGCTGGCTCTGCACATGTACTTTGAGAGCCTCTCAGACACTTTCTCCCCGAAGCCCAGAGGAGTTGTGCCTGTGTGAGTAAACCAAGGCTCTGGCTTTTCATGACTTTCAAAGCACCAGCAGCAGTTTTGATCCCAGCTCCTCCGCCCTCTGCAGATTGGCTGCTCACTCTGTCCCTCGCCTTCCAACCCTATTTATATTCTCTTTACCTCAGGGTATGTCTGCAGTGCAGAGGTACCTGAGTTAGCTATAGAACTCCCCAGCTCAGGTGCTGCTGTAGATGTGGTTGTGTGGAGCTCAGTGCAGACTAATTTACCCCCACTATCCCTAATTCATTTAAAGTTACTTTAACTAGGCCCACCTGACACACTCACTTCCCCCACCACCATGTCCCGGTCCTCACCTCTTCACTTCCAAATACTCAATATTTCACCACCAATCTTTTCATTAGGTTTGTCTACTTCTAAATTAAGATTCAAAACCCAAAAGAATTGTTGGTACAAATTCAGCAATCCATTTGCAATTTGAGATTTATCTCAAACTATGCCTTAACAGGGCTGACAAATTTCCTTTTCAGCCAGTCCCGCATGCCTAAAAATGCACATAAAAAAAGTCTTGGAAGACAAATGTCATCTCCTTGTCTTGCAGAGCATCAGAAAATACATTAGGATATGATAAAACAACCGTTATGATTAAGAAAAATGAGGCATTAAGGAGATGTGGTGGAAAGAGAAGAAAGGAAAGAGATGAAAGCATCCTATTCATGTTCTGTTGATTTCCAATTCACATAAGTGAGAATAAATCTACTTTCCTCACATATGGAACTTACTCCCCTTCCCAACTGGGGCTTGTGCTCTTCCCCACAAAAGATAAAAAGCTTGACTTGACTGTCAGGTAAACACATCAACAAAGCAAGAAAGAAAAAATAAGGTATCATTGATACTGGAACCAAGTAATTCTATCAACCTGCATAACCCACATTTGATGGGGTATCCACGAAAAAATAAGAACAGTTGCTATTTTTTTGGGCTGATAGGATGTCTCAAGAGAATAGTGTCAGGTTTGCAACATCAAGTAAAAAACAGGCTGAAGTGATCTCCTTACTTGTTAGAGGAACTCCCCACCAGATATTGCTGTACGTAATCCAGCCACAGATTACATCAAAAAACTGGTGGTTATCCAGCTTTTATCCCTTCCCTCCCTCCCTAAAAACCAGTGAATAAAAACTATCTTCAGCACAGCTTCAGCTCTGAAGCAGAAGACAAACATTTCAGCCATGATCCTACTGCAAGAGATGGTGCTTTGTGCCCTAGGGAGATGGAGGGCACAGCACTTCCCACTTCAGCAGGGTCATGCTCACCAAATCACACACAAGTGGGGCACAGGCTGGGAGGCATTTCACAGGCCTGAGGGTTTGGAATTCACTGGGCTCTCTCTGGCAGCACATGGCAACTCTGGGTTAATAAAGTTAAAAGTGTGTTATATTGCTTGTTAAACTTTTCAATAAGCACTGAAACAAGAGCAAGAGCACCCTGGGACCACA